TTAAAAAAACATATTACTTTCAACAAATTAATTCTTATGTTACCCACGGGGTAACACATATAAAAGCACTTTAAACTTTGTTAAAGGCAAGGCACCTGGGTGGCTCAGTCAGTTAAGTGTCCGACTTCGACTCAGGTCGTGATCTCACAGTTCATGAGTTCAAGCCTCGTGTCAGGCCCCGTGCTGATGGCTCGGAGCCTGGAGCCTGGAGCCTGCTTTGGATTCTGTGTGTGTCTCTCTCTGCCCCTCCACTGCTCACATACTCTCTCTCTCTCAAAAATAAACAAACATTGAGACAAAAATAAAAAAATAAAAACCTTGTCAAATGCGTATAGATGCCAAGTAACAATACTGGAGTGGCACTGTCTCCCCGAACACTATACAGATTGTGGGAGATGAGGGACCTTATTCCATTGACCTGACACACCGCCTAGAGCAGCTTATGCTGGACTCTGCACAGCGGGTGTGCCGACACCTGATGCGTGAGCAAAAGACGTGGACTTCACCTATGGGCGCCTCAGCAGACACACTGTACCCTCGGTATTCCATAAACACAGATCCACGATACGCAGGGAGCCGAGGGGCCATGCTTACTCCTCCCAGGATGGCCTTGACGACGTCCTCGCTGCTGGAGACACCCCACAAAAGCGTGCAGGCTGCCGCCCCCATCTCTGTACAGTACTCTGCCTGTTGCAGGAGTTGCTGCTTTGCTTCATTCAGCTGCTGTCGGAGAGCGAGTTTCTCCTAAAATCAAAGCAAAATCAACAAAATAAATACCATTCAACTTTGAGATATCTCTATTGTGTTTCTCATTCGAAGGTTGAGAACAACGCATACGGAGTTACAGGAAACAGTTGGCAAATGAAAACTGGTCCTTAGACAGCTACAACCCGTATTTTTTTTAACTTTAGAGGAAACATTGAAAAATAACACTCTGGAAAAAGAACATACTGCTGTATTAGAGTTTATAAATACCGCCAAGGGGCACCTGGGTGGCTCAGTCGGTTAAGTGTCCGACTTCCGCTCAGGTCATGATCTCACAGTTCGTGGGTTCAAGCCCCGCGTCAGGCTCTGTGCTGACAGCTCAGAGCCTGGAGCCTGCTTTGGATTCTGTGTCTCCCTCTCTCTCTGCCCATCTCCCACTCCCACTCCCTCTCTCAAAAAAATAAATAAATGAACATTTAAATTAAAAAAAAAAAAAAACATAAATACTGCCAAGACTCAACTTCAAGTAAAATGAAACATAAGGAGCCTCAGGCCCCCAGTGGCCACACCCAGAATCAAGGGCGCCTGGGACACCTCAATGAAGTAACCACGAACACAGCAGTCCGCAGAGCAGCATTTGTAGTAGAAGAGCCAGTCACCTCCAGATGGCTCACCCCACTGGAAACACACCACCTGGCACAGCCAAGCCCAGCTAGGACAGATGGGACAGAGGCAGGGAGAAGTGCAAAGGAGGGCCTCCCAGGCAAGCCGTGCATAGCAAGATGAGCACCAGTGGGACACCGAGACGGAGGCCACCGGCGGCTTCCGAAGAACAGAGCTGGCAGGTTTCGGCCAGGCCTCTTAGCAATGAACTATCGTCCCGATAGTCCCTCTGACCACACAAACAGTCCTAAAGGTTCACTTCAGGTAGCTCTTGGGCAGGAAAGGGCTTCCTGACCCTCCCAACCACCACCGCTGGTTGCACTATTTGTGTTACCTGCAGTTCCCCCGAAAGATGAGAGCATTTCCTTACTTGGTAAGAGATCAACTTAAGAAATACAGAAACCTGGTTGAATACATCTATACCAAAGCATGATTAGAACAACAACCCTCAAAGTTAAAGTATTTTAGATGTTTTAGGGGTTTCTTTTGGAGAGGTGAATGCAGGACAAATCAAGGGGAAAGAAAAGGAAGAAATGGGCCACAGATCAAACTTTGTTGACTTCATAATTGGGCCTAGGGTAGCCATTCACATCTACTAGGGATGATGTATTTAGTATGCAGAGTTTCATATACATCCGCACATATATTCACACTCACTTTAGGAGAAGGATGGTCACTGAACCTGTGACACATGCTAATGTTGTCTTAGGTGATTACAAACGCTCGCTGTACCCTAACAGGAGTCTGGACTCCTAGACTCATTCTTCAGGTGTCTATAGCTGAACCCACTCAAGTAGTGGAAATGCGAGCAAACCTACGTCAGGCATGTGCTTTAGGAACTCTAGCCTCTCTCACAGTTGAAGCAGTCTGCATCCCAATTAGTCTGGTTATGACAGTTCTTCGATAAGATCACTCAGTAGCTGTTGAGAATGACCGGACAGGATGGTCTTCACTACGGTCACATTTGGTGGCTGCGTGCAGATATGCCCCAACACAGGGCTGCACATACAGTACTGTATCAAAAGAAACTCAATGAAAGTAATTCCATTCACAGTAACATCATAAATTAAAAAAAAATACTTAGGAATAAACTTAAGAAAAGCGATTCAAGAGGTGCCTGGGTAGCTCAGTCAGTTAAGCATCTGCCTTCAGTCCAGGTCAGATCTCATGGTTCACCCACATTGGGCTCTCTGCTGTCTGTGCAGAGCTTGCTTCAGATCCTCTGTCCCTTTCTCTCTGTGTCCCTCCCCTACTTGTGCACTCTCTCACTTGTGCATGCTCTCTCTCTCTCTCTCTCTCTCTCAAAAATAAATAAAAACTTAAATTAAAAAAAAAGATGTTCAGCCAGCTCAAGCTACTCTACCCCACCTCAAGGCCAATTTCAAAATGACAAATTCAAAAAAGAAAATGAGAAGAGTGGGAAACAGAAAAAAGAAAAAAAATGCAGTTCAAGACCTGTACAAAACTATAAAAACTATAAAGCATTACTGAGAAAAAATATAGAAGATCTAAATCAATGGAAAGATATACCATGTTCATGAGCTGGAAAAGTCAATACTGGTAAAATGGTAATCTACCCAAACTGACCTACAGATTCAATGCAATTCCTATCAAAATTTCAGCAGGTTTGTTTGTACAAAATCGTAATCTGATTCTGCAATGCGTATGGAAATGCAAAAAAAAAACTTATAAAAAGAAAAACAATGTTAAGGAGGAACTAACACTGCCTGATTTCAAAAACAAAACACAGGGGCGCCTGGGTGGCGCAGTCGGTTAAGCCTCCGACTTCAGCCAGGTCACGATCTCTCGGTCCGTGAGTTCGAGCCCCGCGTCGGGCTCTGGGCTGATGGCTCGGAGCCTGGAGCCTGTTTCCGATTCTGTGTCTCCCTCTCTCTCTGCCCCTCCCCCGTTCATGCTCTGTCTCTCTCTGTCCCAAAAATAAATAAAAAACGTTGAAAAAAAAATTAAAAAAAAAAAACCAAAAAAAACAAAACAAAACACAAAAACTTACTAGAAAGCTACAGAAATGAAACCAGTGTGGTACTGGCATAAGTACAGACATACAGATCAATGAAACATTAACATTTATGGCAACTGATTTTAACTGAAGTGTCAAGGCAATTCAATGGAAAAAGCAGTCTCTTTGACAAATGATCACAAAACAACTAGAGAGATGGTCATATGCAAAGAAATAAAAATAACAGTAACTCAAAATGAATCACAGACCTAAAGGTAAAATTTCTACAAGAAAACCTCTGTGGCCTTGGGTTAGGCAAATATTTCTTAGATATGACAACAAAGTCATAATCCATTAAAAAAATAGCAAATTTAATTTCATCAAAAATTTAAAACTTTTACGCTTCAAAAGACACCATTAAGAAAGTAAAAACGCAAGCCATAGACTAAAAGAAATTATTTCTAAATTGTACAGGAAAAAAAAGACTTATGAGTAGAAAATATAAAGAACTCTTGCAACACAAAAATAAACAATCTGATTAAAAATAGTCAAAAGATTGTATACCTGAAACTCATGTAACATTGTGGGTCAAATATGTTTCAATGACAAATAAAACAATTTAAATAGAAGATGTGAATAGGTATTTAACCAAAAAAATATATGAATGAATAATAAACACATGAAAAGATGCTCAACATGAGGATAATGCAAATTAAAACCACAATGAGTCACCATTACACGCTCACCAACATGACTGTAATTCAAAGGACCAACAACGCCAAGTGTTGACAAGAATACAGAAAAAGTAGGACCTTCACACATCGCTGGGTGGAATGCAGAACGGCACACTCACTTTGATAAACAGTTTGGCAGCTCCTCACCAAGTTGACCATATACCTACCACATGACCCGCAACTTTGCTCCTAGGTACCTGCCCAAAAGAGACTAAAGTATACGTCCACACAAACACTTGTACGTGAATGTTCACAGCGGTATTACTCACAAGAGTCACAAACTGGAAACAACTAAATGTCTATCAACTGGTGAACAGATAAAATATGGTACAATGAAAAGGACAATTGACACGTGCTAACATAAACGAACTTCCAAAGCATTACACCAGACATACAAGACTACATATTGTATGATTTCATTCCTATAAAATATTCAGAAAAGCCAAATCTATAGAGACAGAAAGCAGATCAGTGGTGGCCTAGGGCTGGAGCAAGGACTAACTACAAACAGATATGTGATGGAAATGTTCTAAAAACTGAACAAAAGCCAGCACGCACACGTGATAAAAATTCTCAGCAAACTAGGAATAGAAGGGAACTTCAACTTGATAAAAAGCATCTACCAAACACTGTTGCTAAAATCATACTTACGTTTATGATGGGGAAGGCTACAGATGAATGGGGGCAGGCGGCACATGGGAACATCTGCCTATCTTCCAGTTTTGCTGTGAACACTGGAATATTGCTCAGCCATAAGAAAAGAGTGAAATCTTGCCATTTGCAGTGACAAAGATGAAGCTAGAGAGTATATATAACATTAGGCAAAAGAAGTCAGAGAAAGACAAATACCATATGATCTCACTTATATGTGGAATTTAAGAAACGAATGAGCAAAGGAAAAGAAAAAGAGGCGAACCAAGAAACAGACTCTTAACTACAGAGAACAAACTGATGGTCACCAGAGGTGGGGGGGGGGGGTGACACAGCTGATGGGGATCAAGGAGGGCACTTGTGATGAGCACCAGGTGATGTATGGAGGTGTCGAATCACTATATTGTACACCTGAAACTAATACTACACTGCATGTTAACTGGAATTGAAATAAAAACTTTAAAAAAAAGCTCTATTTTTTTTAAATCATAGTTAATGGTGAAAGACTGCTTCCCCCCCAAGATCAGGAACAAGGCAAGATTGTCCACTCTTGTCTCTCTTATTCAACATAGTGTCAGAAGTTCCCTACAGTGTAATAACACAAGAGAAACAAAAAGTACATAGAGCAGAAGGAAGAAACAGAACTGTCCCTGTTTGTAGATGACATGATTGTCGGTCGGAAGGAAGGAAGGAAGGAAGGAAGGAAGGAAGGAAGGAAG